AAAAAGTCTGTTGGTGCAAACTGTAGAAACACAAAAACAATTGGATGAAAATATTGTCATATCCTATTACACTGTAAAATTTGAAAACAAAGTTATTTTTTCTTGGTGTAAATGCATTTTCCCTTAAATATAGCAGATAGGACAATTTCTAATGAAATAAAATTATCTACGTTTACAATCAGAAAAAAACAACAACTACCTTATATTATTTCAACTGCATATTATCAGATTATCTTATTTTAAGTGCAAATTAAAGTATTCAGTTGGAAAATCATCTTATCTATTTGGAAAAATAAAGTCAGCTACACTTATTTTAAGAGGTTTTCACTGATCTTCAGAATATTATCAATATTATCATATTATTAGTGTTTTGTTTTAAATTGGGCCCAAAAGCAAAACTTAAATACATTAATTACACATGCATATGTTTTAAGGATTTATTGCTTTCAATGATTTAGTAGTACATCGGATGAAAACGGCAGTAGTATCTTAATAAAGCAGACAAGACCAACCATTTTATTTTATGACCCATTTATGCTTTATAAAATCCCTGGCTATGTTTCCACACGTAGTACTTTCCAGTCTCAGTGGGGATTATCAACCATGAAAGCTGGCTGACCACAGCGCGCTGTCAACAACTGTTAGCGTGAAAATGTTTTGTGGAAAGAAAAGGTGACCAAAACCCGGAAAGGAGTTTAAAAAGAAGAAGAAAGCAGGGATGTTGCTCAGGGATCTGGAGTCTTCTTTTTAGATGTGAGTAAATTCTAAGTTTCATTATGAGGACGTGTAGGGAGGTACAGGATTCTAGTTGCTTGAGTTTAGAGCGTGAGTTTCCACCTCTGGTGATGATCTGAAGATTCATGACATTTGCAAGGTGGGTTGTCCACTTTGTTTTATGAATGGCAAAGACTGCAATAACATACGAAAAGAAATGTTTTGTTTGTAATTAATGGCCATTTCCTCCCCAGTTTTCTAGGCTTATGCTTCAAAGTACACAGCTTTGCATTAAACCAAGAAGCCAGCCTCAGATTATTAAAGTTTTCAAAGGGTCTACATTGCCTACAACTGTACACAAACACAAAGTAACCCCAGCAACAAAATCCTCAACCTATGAAGGGGAACAATTTAAATGTTTACCCTATGCAATACTACTTATTGTTACAGAGGATATAAACAAAGGAAGCAGATTTATTTTATTATTTGTTACTGCATTATCTGATAATGCTCTGCTAAAGTGAAACTTTAGTTTTTTTATGTTTTTTTTTTTTTTTTGGGGGGGGGGGTAAGTAATTTTGGAAGTTACTAAAATGTAGTCAGATAGAAAGGTTTGTAAATCAAATACCAATCAATGCCATATTTCAGCAGAAGGTCCAAAGTATGAAGATGAGAATGTGTGGGACAGGGCACATTTTGAACAAAACCACTTAAGTCTTAGATAGCATTAAAGGCTGCATTTAAGCTATCACCTTTAATGTCGGCATGACGCTAAATCAGATAAGAACTCTGAAAACTCATGTAAAAAAATCAGACCTGGTGAATGATACAAAGTTTCAAACAGAAGTGTTTATGTTGCTTTACTGTTTGGATGAGTGAAACTAAGGGTTACATGTTCAAAATAATTTTAAGTATTAACTGGCTTTGGAGTAATCAATAAGTCAGACTGAAAGATTGGTGCTACTCCTCCTCCTTGCCCATGAATTTCTGGGAATATGAACCTTTGAATAGCTGGAGAGAGTTGCCTCATTTATGCTCACATGATCCTCTTGTTGCAGACAGGTTCCTGTTAGACAACATAAATCAAGTTGATTATAACGAATAAAGTAATTAAGAATCTCTTTGGAGAGGGAGATCTTTAATAAACCACATTTCATTATTTTAACTTATTGTCTTAACTGGAGCCATTCAAATTTTAATTAAATTATCATGAATTACTCCTTCTGGATCAGGACTTTTTTCTAATCTATTTGATTTTAGAGCAACATGTGGGCAACAATAGAACAGTTACAGAGAGGTAAGTTAAAATATGACTCTGCTTCCTGGTCTGCACCCTGGGCTGAACCAGGTATAAAGTGTATATCCTGTACATTATATACATACACTTCTTAGTAGTCCAACATTGTTAAAAGTAATACTGTTTATTAATCTTATTTGATATTCAAGCTTGCAATTAATATGCTTCCCATTAGCTTTAAGCCATAATCATCACAGTTAACACATATAAATGCTGTGAATATATCAGCTTATATGTGTTATTTTCTTATTACATGAAATAAAGGGAGTTTTGCTGATTCCATTGTTTATTTTAGATAGATTTTCTTTCATTTCTGTGTTTATGCTTTTTCTGTGCCATTTGGCTCTTGTTAAAGGTCTTATTTTTACTGCACACATAGTCAAAGTTATTATGGTTTGATTGTATTTTCCTGTCTTTGTTGTTTTCAGAACAGAAATATTTATTGAAAATACATACCACAAGACCTCGCGGTGGAGATTCTGACCTCCACCAGTAAACGCCAGCCTTTGGTCAGCTGTCGAAAATGTCGCCACAGAAGAAACTTCTCGTCCCGGTCAGCAGCAGGCGGAAAGCGGCTGATGACTTCTTCCCCTTCAACTCTCTACCAGTGGAGTGCCAGCTTCACGTCTTGTCCTTCCTGAACGAGGTGGACAAATGCAGCTGCGCTCTGGTTTGCCTGAGCTGGAGCTGCCTGGTCCGATCCTGGAAGCTGTGGCGGGTTGCTGACTACTCTCGTCGGGGTGTCTTCCATCTTGGTCAGGAGGGGCTGCTGGTTTCTAACCGAGAGTTTGAGCGTTGGAAGTCCTGGGTTCACCATTACACCCACCATCTGATCTCCAGGCGGGCCAGCCTGCTCACGCTAAAGGCCAGCTTCGATCTCGGAGACCGCTGCAATAAATGGAGCGAGCTCCTGAGCCACCTGCTGGATAACGTCCACTGCAGGGACCTCAGCCATCTGGACCTCAATTGGACCTTTACCCTCTTTGAGCCGTTGGACCTGCGGGTCCACTCCAGCTCCAGTTCACATCAAGACAGCATAACCAAGATGGACCAGGTAATCTGCTGAAATGATTTTAGCTCCATCAGATGCTAAATGCAGAGTAGTGAAACAGCTGAACACAAAAGATCAGAGATTTTCTATAAGAAAACAAAACCCTAATGGCAGGAAAGCACCGTTCAATTAAAGATAGAGAGCCAGCTGATATGATCACGCTCTGCCTTTAACCGTTCCAGCTGACACTGCTTTAACCCTGAGATACTTTTATAATCATAGGAAAAAATAAAGACTAAGAAAACATAATTGCAGCGATGGCTCCATTGGTGGCTTTGTCTGGTAAAGAGAGGTAAGTTAGACAGTTTTCCATTAAAATAACAGGATCTACATTAAAAAGAGGAAATAAATATTTTATTTCTAGTCTGTAATGTCTAATTGTATTATTTTAAGGGGAAAATTACTCTTTCCATCTTATTTACTTGCCCAAATTAAGAGGAAAGCAACTTTAACAGCATATTGGCATGAGATCCAAATTTTTCCTGCTAGATATCAGAAGAAATATGAAAAAAATTAGAATTTTGCTGTAGATGTAAAGAGAGCAACTTGAGATTTTAGTTTTATTTTAGGTATAATATCTCACCTCTAAGGATGATATTATATCAGCAATTTAAAAAGTAAAAGTAGTCCTATCTTGCAGAGTATAACAACAATCAAATAATCTCAATAACAAACGGTCTAATAATGAATTAGTTTCTTAGGATGAAAATGTTTGATCAAAAGTCGTTTTTTTGGCGCACAACAAATAATCTTTATTAAAAGAGAAAATAAATAATCAGGGAATTTTTGCTTTTTTTTTAATCCTGCCCAAATTATTCTGCATTTTGATTGGTTTCAATATGAAAACAGTGAGGTTTGCTGCTGTGGTGGATGGATTTGTTTGCTCTGATCAGAGCTAACGGGAAAGGATCTCCGATTCAGAAATCCAAAGCCCATTAGTTCTACTTTGCCATTTTTATTAATGGGGCTCCTTTCAGGCTCCAAAATCATCTCTGTATAAAAGTTCCTGCATCTTTTTAAATGATACTCATAATTGATAAATTGATGTCCTTTTAAACCTTGTTGTGTTTACAATACACTCATTAATTTTTATTTTTATTTTATGTTTATAGTTCAAGGCAGCTATTATCCCGACTACATTCATTAAGCTGCTCATTGATTAGAAGTTTCCATGGTTACTGCTATGATTTCCCTATAAATATGTGATAATCTGGCTGCTGGTTTTTGTTTGTGCGTCTCTTCTGCGGCTCATAAAAGATCCTGGAAAGATCAGGCCTTTCTGATCATAATGTGGGGCGTCTTAGGCTGCAGCTCCATTATTATTGATCAGCAGCGTAAGTCGCAGCAGCTGTCACACTGGCTTCTGAATATCAGATCCTTTCCGATGATCGCTAAAAGCTGCTGTCCTAAAATGTGCCTCAAAGTGCGACATAAGACTGTCACTAATGGCAGTGGTCGCTTTGCTCTCAGACTCCCTGAACTCATGGCAGGAACCATCTTGTTTTTCTTTGGTTTGGCAGGTGACCAGCTTTCAGGAGCTACTTGGTAAACTCACCCACAGCTGCCCACGAATCTCCAAGATGCGTCTCCATTTCGACTGGTCCGATCTCTCCGTGTCCCTGCTAACTCAGTTCCAGCAGCTTCGGATCCTCGAGCTGAAGTACTTCTGGGTCTTCAAACTCGTGACCCCCTCCACGCTGCAGACGCTCACCAAGTCCCTGCCCAACCTGAAGTCGCTGACTTTGCACATCCTGGTGCCGCTGAGGAACCTGGGGATCTCTTACACATTGGAGTCGGAGTCTCTGGAGTTCCTGGACGTGTCGCCCAGCAGAGGTTTGGTTTTCTCCTGCCTGAAGCTGCCGGCTCTGAGAGAACTCAGGGCGAAGAAGATAGTTCGAGGTATTACTCTGGACCGGAGGACGAGGCTCAGGATCCAGAGCCGCTGGCCTTGTCTGTACAACGTCCTCCAGCAGGGGACGCCGAAGCTTCAGGCTCTGAACAATGAGAGGCTCCTTCCTACCTGGAGGGAGAAGAGCTACGGGGAACTAAAGACCATCCTGGAACAGTCCTGTTACTGTATGCAGCATCTGGACAGCTGGCTGTGGTAGTCTGCTAACTGAGACCAAACAGCAGAGCACTGCTTTTACTTGACATTATGACTATTATCGCAACAAAGCTGAATCCACAAAGGGACACAGATGTTGCTTATTGCTGCAGATGAAATATTCGATTTGTCTGCAGGAAAACTCACTGAAACAAGGCAATGATGCACATGGGGTTTATAAACATTTCTTTAAAAATCTGCAAAAAGCAAAGCTGCTTCTTGCTGATCGTACTCTTTAGCACTGGTCAGGAAAAAAAGAGCCACATGATGTGGATCGGGACATCATATAAAGCATAATCTCACCTTGAAGTTGTTAAAATGTGTTGTTCTTGTGAATATAAGAAACAACAGAGAATGAAGGCAAAATATTTGGGGGAAATTTTTATTTCCTCTAAATCAAAATGAAACTATATGAATTAATGCGTTCTGATTTCAGTTGCATATTTAAAGAAAAATAATAAGATTGTAATCCGGCTACATCCAAATTAAATCCCCAAATGTAGAAATGCAAGCTGGTGCTCTAATCCAAACATTTTAACAAATTTTTATTTTAACTGGTTTTCTTCAGCGTCTAAAACAGGATGAGCTATTGATAAAGATTTATATTTGAGACTGGAACATTAAGAGAAAACAGAATTGAGCGAGGAAGTAAAAATGTCTCCGAAGTTCATTCCAAATCCGTTAATTTAGAAAAAGGAAAATCTTTAAATTATGAACTGATGTATAAATATCCACTGCTCAAAAAATAACAAAGCACAAAAAAAGAAAAAACACACAACATTACTTTAGTTAAGCTTCTATAAAATCAAACTGTCCACTGAGGAAGAAACACTAACAGTCATTTTCATTGCTGATGTGCTCATGGAATAGACAACAGGTGGAAATATTGTCAATTATCAAGATGCACTCAATAAAGGAGTGGTTTTGCTGGTGGGGACCACAGAACAGTAAACTGTTAGAAACCGACTCCACGAGGATGGTATGAGGGCCCAGGTCCGCAGATGGGGGTTGTGCTCACAGCCCAACATAATCCAGCATGCATAGCATTTGCCAGATAACAGGATTGGCAAATTCATAGATGAAAGCAGGTTCACACTGATCAGATGTGTCAGGTGTGACAGAGTCTGGAGACTGTGTGGGGACTGATCTGCTGCCTGTAACATCCTTCAGTATGACTGGTTTGGCAGTGGGTCAGTAATGGTTTAGGGTGGAATTTCTTTGCAGGGCAGCACAGCGCTCCATGTGTAGTATGACTGCCATTAGGTACTGAGATGAGATCCTCAGACCCCTTGTGAGACCATATGCCGGTGCGGTTGGCCCTGGGTTCCTCCTATGCAGGACAATGCTAGATCTCATGTGGCTGGAGTGTGTCAGCAATTCCTGCAAGATGAAGGCATTGAAGCTATGGACTGGCCTGACCGTTCCACAGACCTGAATCCGATTGAGCACATCTGGAATATCATGTCTCGATCCATCCACCGACATCATGTTGCACCACATTCATGGAGTTGGCAGATGCTTTAGTCCAGGTCTGGGAGGAGATCACTCAGGAGACCATCCACCACCTCATCAGGAGCATGCCCATGCATTGTAGGGAGGACACAGGCATATGGAGGCCACACGACACTGAGCCTTTGTGACCTGTTTAAGAACATTACATCAAAGCTGGGTCAGCCTGTAGTGTTTTTTGATTTAGTGTTTGAATCGAAATCCAGACCTCCACTCATTAATAAACTAGATTTCCAGATGATTATTGTGTGATTTTGTTTTCAGTACATACAGCTCTGCACAAAGCAAAGTATTCAGTGACAATATCGACTTATCAGATCTAGGATGTTATTAGAGTGCTTTTTTATTTTTTTCATTTCTTGAGCAGTGTAGATGTATATCCTTCAGTTTTCTTAATCGATCCCATTTAATTTTGTACAATTAAATCAAGAGTTAAAGACATCTTCTCCAAACAAGCAGACTCAGTCATAATCAACTGGAGGCTTTAACTTTGTTAGTTTGGCCTCCAGATTCTTTGAAATCAGAATTGAAAACTTTTAAAAAACAGGAAATAGTTTAAATGCCAAAGTAATGACACTTCGGAGAGCGGGATACGCAATTTAAAGTTATTCATATTTATATTTCAATAAAGTTTTTCCAAAGTTAGTTCATGTGTGATTTAAACAATAATATAAACTGTTATAAAACGGCCCAGTGAGGAACTACCTTCAGCTGTGTTTAAGACACCCTATGCACAGGATATGACTCATAAGCTCACAGCTTTAGTTTTGCTATTTAACACATATATTTATAGATTCATCTCTTGTGTTTGGTAAAATGTTAAAGTGGATCAAAGTTTTTTGAACAAAATAGCAGTCAGTGTTTTTTATTTTGACTTTCAGTCGTTGACAAAATGACCCAAAGTCTCTTTGTTGTTTATCTGTTTTCATCCTGAAATCCTAATTGGCCTCTGATACGCCCTAAAAATCAAAATTCTGATTGTAAAGAAAAGCATTGAAAATAAGCCTTGATGACATAATGTATAGTTTTAATCCTAAATATATATTTCTTTTTTTTTCTTTTATTACAATTTTTCTCTTATTCCCATAGTTTTGCATTCCTAATAAACTTTATTTTCCTGTTTTTTTTCAGCCTTGAATTAAGCTGCTCATATTATTTCATGGAGAACAAATAATGAATTTGAAAATGAAGATCATTTCTATATTTTTCTTTTTTTAAACTTACTTCAAAGGAAAAGCAACCAAAATTTCTCTGAAATATTTTGCCTAATTTTCTTGGTATCATGTCCTCCTTTAATCATGACGTGTACTGTACAATAGAACTGAACTAATGTTATTTGCACGAGAGATTATGTAAAAGTTAGATATGCAGTGGATATTTAAAACTAAATATTGGTTTATGTTGAAACTGAGATTTTGATCTAAAGCTGAAATTGATGTAGAGCAGACGAACTGCAGCTCTTTCATTGAGCTGAAAACTTTTTCTGTTCTCTGACTCAGCTGCTGGGTAAATTACTCGCTGTTAAGCTGGTATAATTCCAATCACAGCCGACCAGGAATGCAGAACGAGACTTAATTCCAGTGCTGGACCACATTGTTCAAATTGCCGGTGCTACTTTTCCATCTGTTGTGTTTGTCGTCCTCCTTCAGCAAAGGGAGCCATCAATGTTTTGAAACAGTCATTTTTACAATGTTTGAGTGAAGAACTCCTGCTCCTCTTGATTTTTGCAGACTTTTTGCACATTGATGTTGCCTTCACAGAAATTCAATCAATTGCATCTGCAGTTTCCTTCTGGATCAGCAGAGGTCTCAGTTGTCAAAGATTTTGTCCTGCAGATTTCTGTTTACTGTTGCATAGTGTAAAAAGAAAAAAAAAGAAAGTGGGCTTATGTGTATTTCAAGGTGTTTGAGAATTGCTTGATACTTTTCTCTTCTGCTCCATTGTGGTTTCTTTTCCCAGCTCAGCTTAAGTGCACCAGCGTCACTTTAAACGGACTGAATGATTTGCTATAAGAGCTTTGTTCCGGGAATGAAATCGCTTCCATGCGACCTGGAGGCAATGACAATTACTCAGATGTTGTAACATCTGGTCCAGTTGTCCAAATAAAAAAAAGACTGACTGAAGCTTTTATTTTGGTTTTGTTTGTTGTTGTTTTTGTATTTTCTTTTACTTTATTGGAATTTTTACTTCAGGCCTGAATGCATAACAGGCCAAAGTTTTGTTAAACGCATCCAAATTAACCAACAACATTTTTTTCACACATATATACGGTGCTGGAAAAAAAAAATGTTTTCCTACTTACTGATTTCTTCAGTTTTCTGGGGGATATTATTTTGTTTTGCCTCAAGATAAATAAATAGAGAACTTTTTAAAATGACTTTGTAGAACAGCTAATTTTAATCTCCCAAAAAACAGTTTAATCAGACAAAAGTGTAAATTATTCAGAGGTTTTGCCTCCCAATATATCTGGCATAAAACCAACACAGCATTTAAGAAAAATGCCAGTATTTACATTCAGCATGGTGGTGGCCTTATAAGGGGATGATTTGGTGCTTCAGTCCTATTTTCCTGCACATATATGCAAAAAGCATCATTTGATGCTGAATTATAATTGTTCTGGATAAATAAGTGGGGAAAAAATCCCCTTGCATTCATATAAAGCAGTGGTTCCGAAAGTACACACATCTGTTACTTAAGTAGAAGTATAGAATCTGCAGTTTAAAAACACTGGTAAAAGTTGAAGTATCAACTTGACCTATTTACTCAATAAAAGTGAGAAAGTATGTGCTCTAAAAACTACTTAAAGTATAAAATTATAACTCAACGTATAGCCTTTAAAAAAACAGCCAGATGCCGCTATATGAGCTAAAAGCAAAATTTTTCGACTATTTCTAAAACTTCTCTGAGATAGGGCCAAGGATGAGGGAGGTCTTGTTGGTCTCCGTCTCCCGATACGCTCTCGCCTGTGTCCGACCTTTCAGACATTTCAACATCTTTTTCTGAATCCCACATCGTAGCATGGCATAGACAATTCACGTTAGCAGTTTGAAGAACACCTGCTAGCTTCTGATGATTTCCTTTAGCTAACCAATGAGTGTTTGCGTTCTATGACTCATCCACCCACATCTAGTTTTCACTAGATGTGGGTGGAGCCAATGACCTGCATTGGATGGCGCCAGACATGGGCAATGTGGAGTCAACAAGTCATCTCCATGTCATGTATTTGTTCTACCCAGCCACTGAAGCAGGTGAGTCCAATCTTCACCGTGAATTAACCTGTGCAGATTGGACTCACCTGGTTAATTGGCTGGGTAGAACAAACACATGACATGGAGATGACTTGTTGACTCCACATTGCCCATGTCTGGAAATAAATATTTATAAACATTAAACAGAAGCCAAGTGTAACGAGTAACGTTTCTTTTAAAAATGTAAGGAGTAGAAAGTACAGATACTTGTGTGAAAATGCAATGAGTAGAAGTAAGAAGTAGGAAGATAAATAAGTAATGGAGTAAAGTATAGATACAGATAGATATAGATAGCTGGAAGGACCCTTTCTTTTGGACTAGAGGTCAATCATTTTATCTCTATGAACCATGTTTGCAGGTGTGAGATTAATTCCAAATATCAGCCAATAATTGTTGGCAGCACTGTGATATAACCTAAAACAGATCTAAAATGTGTTCTCAGCTCTTACCCTGAAGTCACGGCTGTATTTCTCTAAAACTCTCTGAATCAAAGCGGCACATCTGTTTTCTTTAGAAACAAACCACCTTTTCCCAGTTTGACCATAAGCTTCCCTGATTTTCCTCTCTTGACGTGAGGAATTTGGGCGCAGGGAGCCTCGCTGATAACCGAGACTCCACGAAGATGAACCTTTTTTTTTTCTGCTGCACTCCACCTCTTGCATCCTGCCCCCCTCAGATGTCCATCCCTCGTTCGCCTCTTGTTTGCACGGACTTTGTTAATCTCACAGAGCTTCCTAACGGACCCTTTATCTTTATAAACCTGTGGATGGAAACCCTTGTAAGGATCAAAGGTAGGATACAGAATCTCCTGGACTCCTGCTGTGACCAGAAGCTGCTAATTTTTTGTTGTTTTGTTTTTTAATTTGGTGATGTTTATTTTTTGCTTTTCATGTTGCACTTAAAAATAGGAAAAAGCAAGGAAAGTGTGATGGTTAGGAAACTGCAGCCTTCCCTGAGGTTTACCTAACCCATGCATTAGTGGGAAGAACCAAGTGACCGCCTCCAGATGTGTGTGAGAGAGAGAGAGAGAGAGAGAACTGCTTGACTATCTACAATGAACATCGCCCTCTTCACACTCCAACACTTACTCTTTGCTCCTTTGGCAGTGCCCAGGTTAATGCTTAATCCATCGCACACCTATAATTTCTAAGGCCCAGCCCTGTTTATGAGAAAGGGGTTATGTCGATGCCTTCAGATCAGTTGGCCTAGTTTGCAGGTCGACCTGCTCAGAGACTCGTCTCCAGCTGTCAAGCAAAGGAACCTTCAGGACGGGTCAGAAGAAGCTTCCAAAATGCCACGAAAATCCAGCTTGTCCATTGGCTTCGCCATCGCCTTAGCCATCCTGACGATTTCTGCCATCGGTGGGATGATCTCCATGATAATCGTTTTTGAAATTGAGAAATCTCAAATAAACATGACAGAGCCTCCACCAACAGTACCAACTACAATGGCACCGCTGCCGACGAGTTGGCGTCTACCAAGGTACCTGATTCCTGAAAGGTACGAGATCACCATCCAGGTTGACCTCTACACCAGAATCGTGGAAGAGGTGAACGTAACGACCCCAAACCAGACGCTGCACTTCCATGGAAACTCCACTGTGCACTTCCAGTGTCACCAAAACACAAACGTCATCTTCCTCCACAGCCTTGGGCTGAAGGTTTCCTCTCCACGCGTAATTAACAAAGACACAAAGGAGGAGATGAAAGTCATCTCACTCACACACCAGGAAAATGGTACTGACTTCTTGGTGATTCAAATAGAAAACTTCTTTAAGAGGAACGGGAACTACAGTTTATTTCTGGCGTTTAAGGGAGAAATATCGGAATATCTTGATGCATTTTATGTAAGCAGATATGCTGAATTTAACACCGAGGCTGAAAATGTAACCATAGAGGAAAGGTAAGTACTCTTAAACAATCTGTATGACACCTTTTAGACTTTTCTGACTGATAAACTACATGGACAGAACAGGAGGAGGTAGAATGAAAAACATCTAAAGGGAGAAACAAAGAAAAACAAAAACATTATTTTAAGAGTTCAACTCAAAAAATGTATGTTTTCCTGAATTGATTTAATGTTTTGACAAAAGAGAGATTTCAAGATAGTAAACCAGTTAAAGGGTAGATTGTCATTTTACTTATTTAGTTTATCATACACAGGAATTTTACTGAAAAGACAGTATCTATTATTCAATCATAATTTTTCTGCTAAAATGATGAATGTGACAAATTATTTTTGTATACTTTATTGAAAAAGGATGTTAAATATTACTTAAACTGCTGTTAAAAGCACTAAGGCTTCTTCTACTCAATCTTTTTTCCCCTAAAATCATAATGGAACTGAAATGGCAGAACAGAAACAAATTATGTTAAAGTGGAATTATTACTAAAATATAGTGATCAGAGAAATGTGACAATTGACTGAGGTTTTTAGGAGATCTCAAAACTAAATAACCTTAAAATATCAGTTCACATTTATTTTATTCTACATGTTTTATATTCTTATTTTATTTAATATCAATAAAATACAAAACAGCCTTAAATCTTGGAGTAAAAAGTTGAAATTTTGTCTGATTGGGTTTTAGACTTAAGCCAAGTATCTCAGTATGATGCAAAATGCATCTCTGTTTGTTTCTCTTTTTGTATGTGTGTGCCTGCTGATTTTAACACAGCTTGGTCATATTTTTTGTTCTTAGATTTCTTGCAGCCACAGATCTGGAACCAACAGGAGCAAGACAAATATTTCCATGTTTCGATGAACCAGACATGAAGGCTGTTTTTCAGTTGAAAGTCATCCATAGACGTAAAACAAAGGCTCTGGCAAACACAGCAGGAAAAGGTAGAAATATAGACGATGAAATCCTTATGTTTGGGTTTGAGACAGTAACTGATAATATTCCATATAATTTTCTGTTTCAGCACCCATAATTCTAAACGATGAGTGGCAAATGACCCTTTTTGAGGACACACCAAAGATGTCGAGCTATTTATTTGCCTTCACAGTCTCAGAGTTTGAAGATTTTGCCAAATTCTATGATCACCGTGTGGATATCAAAGTATGTTTGTTCTTCTAGGTGTAAAGCATATCTTTTTTTAATCTGGAATGTAGGTCCCTCTTCATTAATTGGTTAATTTAGGTTTTCTTAAAAAAGTGGATGTTTAGCACATCCTTAAGCCTCACATCCAAAATCGAATTAATTAACATCAGACATAACATCTGGACCAAGTTCATGTGACAGGAGCAGGAAAAAAACGACTTATGCTTGTTGGACAAGGTTAGTACATTCTGATGGTTAGATGACCAAGCTGGAGCATTTCTAGCTCTCAGTCCAATAAAATATCTGCTGAATGTGCTTGGCATACAAGCCCAAGCTAACAATTGAGAGGACGTTTCAGATCGTCTACCAGTCTCTTGGTGCCATATACCAGAGTTAACCTTCAAAGGGCTTATGAGTCCCATCCCTCTGTCGGTCATGGCTTGTTTGGCACTAAAATACAGACTAATTTAGGATTAGAAGAGAGGTCATTATGTTATGCCTGGTTGGTTTTCTTTGTAAAGTCTTGTTTCATGTATTGAGATGATGTCTTGGTAAATCAAATTTTCCTCATGCAGACCTATGCCCGTCCCGAAGCTATAAAGGCACACCATGCTGATTATGCCGCCAAAATTACTGCTAAGATCCTGGATTTCTACGAAAAGCATTTGAATCAGTCGTATGGAATGAGAAAACTTGGTAAGACTTCAGCACACAAATTTATACTTTGGTTGCCAAACATCAAAAACTTGACATTTTATTTGTTTTCTTAAAATAAGTACGTTTTCTTTTTTAATCATTTTCATTTTAAAAAGACAAACTTAGCTAATGGACAAGCATTAAATAATTCAAACAATATTTTTTAAGGGAGTACATTAAAGTTAGTAAACCTTTTTTACATGGACCACCGTTTTTGCTGTTATGAAACGTCCGCTAACCTATCAGATCTGCTAATTGTTCTTTTTTTCATTATGGCTATTTAGTTGATTTCAAAAGAAATAATCTTGCCAACAGATAAAATAAACATTTAACAATCTTAATGTTCTTTTTCAAATAAAAAGCTGGTTTTTTTTACTGTTTGTCAAGCAGGTTTTTACTCCTCTAATTTAATGTAACTGTTAAAATAGATATATTTTAGATTCCTAAATTTAAAGTTACAACAGTTAAATTATTTTGTGTCTTTCTAACTCTTTAGTAGTAATTCTGACTATATTTAAGGATAAGAATTCAATCACGTTTGAAGGGAATAAGCCTGTTTGCATAGTCATAGTTCTTATCACCTTTATTAAAATCCTAATAAATAACCAAGGCCTTGCCCTCAATAACAAACCGCCAAAAGCAGGCGCCTGTTTGTAGTCCAACTTTATGATTTTGCTATAATTGTTCTTTCTTTTCAATAGATCAAATTGCTCTGCCAGACTTGAATTTTGCAGCAATGGAGAACTGGGGTCTGATTACGTATCAGGAACCCGCTCTGCTCTATGTGGAAGGAGTCTCCTCATTGTTGCAAAAGGAAGCAATCGCTGAAATTATAGCTCATGAGTTGGCACACCAGGTAAGAGGGGAAAAATCTATTTCCTGCTTCCTGGAATGACTCAGATATGATTCAAAACTCTCCAGGCCTTATTTACTGGCAGGTTAATAATGGAGAAAAATTAGTCTGAAAACTACCTTAAAGTCAATTGATGCTTTTTTCTTAACAGTGGTTTGGAAATTCGGTGACGATGAAATGGTGGAATGAAGTCTGGCTGAATGAAGGGTTTGCCACCTATATGTCCTACCTTGCAGTGGACCAAGTTGAGCCATTATTTCAAATAGTGAGTTAAGGTTTGATTCCTAATAGCTCCAATGTCAGAAGTTATTATATCAATTTACATTTAAAGGAGAAAAAAAACAGAATATCCATTGAATCTTATATCTCAGACATCAAATTATTGGGTTTTTTGGTTGCTTTTTAATCTTTGTTAAGAATTTTGTCATCCCTGAATTTAACTTGCCTAGTAAATAAGAAACCTTGATGATATTGGCTATAAGAAGTGTTTTTAATTATTTTAACCTAATTTTCAGGGTAAAAACCCCCAGAAAAACAGCTATTTGACCTTTAGTCTTGTCTTGATCACCTTAAGTACCTGTAATGTTTTAAAGGTCAGATTTCATGCTTGAATACTCTCATGAAGCTCTCAGTGAAAGTAAAAAAATATTTCTGAATTTTCATTTTTAACGCAATTATTCCTAAAAACAAAAATACTTATTGTTTTGAAAATGCATGTTTGTTCTTGACTTGCATCTCATTTAAGGTCTGTGAACTGATCAACTTGACAAAGTTTAGCTTTGATGATATAAATCGTTGGTCAATTTTTTTTGAATACCTAAATCAAAGTACATCTGTATAAAAAAATCTTTCATTCAGCAAACTTTTTCCTCTAGTACCGTAATTAAATGCATAAATGTGTCGTTAAATACTGTTTTGTGTTTTACAGAAAGAGATATCAATCATGAATGATCTCCACAAGGCATTTGAGGATGATGCTCTGCAGACATCCCATCCTCTCAGTCAATCGGAAGAATTTAAGGAACCTAGTGAAATTCTTGGGATGTTCGATGCTATAAGTTACTGTAAGGTAAAGTATCACAGAGAAGGACACATACATTAGAATGATTAACCGTTCCTATAGGATTTTTATGTTATCGTGTTTGAGGCACCCTTCCATCAGTCTGCTGCGGACCTCCTAACTATAAGCTCTAAACAGCATAGAAACTCAGAGGATAGTCCAGTATCTTTAGAGTTACTTTATCCTCTTCTGTTTTGCTGAGGGTCAAACATTTTCTTAGAAAGGTTTCCTTCAGATTATCTTTGTTTCTATTTCTGTAATGTTTTCTTTCTGTTTATAATGGGATCTACTTTGTTATTCCTCTGCAGGGAGCCATGGTGCTGAGAATGCTGGCGGACCACATGGTAGAAAGTATTTTTGACCAGGGAGTCAGAGTAAGACAATGATTTTGATTCCCACTTAATTACACAGTAATGTTGTTGCAATCCTTGTAAATACCTCAGAAGGAGTCGTCCACATATACACCAGGATTTAAGTGTCCTCTGATCCCTACATCATAACAGTGTCTGTTCAGAGTTACATTTAAAAGGCCTCTGCTCACTACAGGAATGCCCATCACACATTCTTTAGTTCACCACACTCAGATAAATCATATCAAGGGTGTGAAAGGAAACCACAGCAAAGTAGATCTTTAATTTAGTGCTTTGATGGGTGTGAAAATATCACTAACAGGTGGAGTAGTGTGTTTGCATGTTCTATTTGTGCAACATCTTACAAAGTATAAAAAAGGAAAAACAAATGTAAAGCTTCCAGTGACAGTCTCAAAGGCCCTCAGTCATTGTGAGCTTTGGGTAAATTGAGGTTCTTAGAGTCTTTTCGTAGGATAAAAATCTGAAAAAACAAAGAACATGGAAACTCTGGTAGAAGAGAAAACAGAAAACAGACATTTACTTTAGCTGTACAGAGGGGGAGCTGTAACCTCCCCATGGCTTTCCAGCCCCTGTGCTTCCTGAAGTTATGTTTTTTGCTGTTCCTTATAAGCGCAGCAAGCTCTCACTATACTTTCTTGGGTCGTAAAAAAAAAAAAGATACATAAAAGAAATTTGAAACATACACATCAAAACTACATGTCATAATAATGCTCAAAGGCTTCAATTATTTTTCTTTTTTTTATTATTTCCTTTGGCTTAGAGTCGTAGGGAAATCATATTTAAATGTTAAATCATTCTGGCATATATATAATAATGTACTGTTTATCAGACCATATTGTCCCAAAAATTAGAAAATTTCTATAAAAAAGAAAAAAAAAAATCCTGTCTTAAAATCTGTATTTTCCATTTTTTCGTTATTTTATGCAGGCCTGTTAGTTATACGTCACCTAAATTCGGCCAATCATATATCAACGATCATCTGTCAATCAAATTGTTTCGGTCATAGCATCTCGATTCTTATGTTGCAGCTAATATACGCAACGGTTGAAATAAGAAATGAGAATCCTTTCCTTTCCCATTGAGTTACGTCCCAGTGTTCACGGGGATGGACGTCTGTGTCTTCAGCAGGCGTAGAACTAACAGAACTGGCAGCGTTGCGAGGCAAGGGCTCAAACATGTACGGCTGGAAGCCTTCTACACCAAACCAAGCTTCTGCCGCCCTGGCGTCCTCATCCACAACATCTTCGTCCCCGCTTTCCTCCTCTAAATAAAAAATGGATGACGGAGGAGACTCATCCACGACCTCCGACACTAAACTCTCCTCCTCTTGCATGTTTCCGCTGTCCATAGCGTTCCTTGACAGCGTCGTTTCTAAGTCACCAATTTAGTGCTACTTGGTCCCAATGGAATTTCCTATTGGGAACCTACTAGCACCAAGTTGCTAACTGGTTAGAAAGATGCTTCTGACAAACTGGCCACAATCATACCTGCTTGTAAACCTTTCGCCACAACAACCTGCCCCCTTGATAAACGATCAATCACATTCATTTCATTCACTCATGTAAAGTCGTGGACCACTCAAGAGAATTTGGAAATGCATCTTTTTGATTTGAGATAGTCAGATCGCGCACATACTTTGTTTACATGTACAAACCTTCCATTCTAATTGAAATCTATTTAGATTTAAACAAAAGTGTTTTAATACAGTGAAAGTTAACCAATTCAACTACAATTGTATGTTTCATGTAGAACAACTAATAATCACCTCAGATTTAATTCATATGGTTTAAAGAAACTATGTGGTTATGGTTGAAAGAAATAAGTAAGCAAGTGACATTTTTTATTAAGCCCTCCTTTACAGAAATAATGTCACAAAGCTCTGTATTAATAAATCAAGATTAGATCAAACAAAGACGGAACAATACAATTGGGGTAAGATAACAAACATATCACAATGAAATCACAGAAAGATAAAACAAGATATAAAAGTAGGTCTGCTCTGTTTACTTTCTTGAAGATGCATGCTTTAACTCCTGTCTCTTACTATGTTTTTTTTGCATTTAGGACTACCTCAAAAACCACACAGGAGGGAATGTCGAACAGGATGATCTTTGGGATGTGATGGATAAGGTAAAGACCTTTTGACTTCCAAATTAATCAGTAATTCATTCATGACATCAGATACAAACATCTGGACTCAAAAATATGGAAACATATAATTGACTTGTCTTCATTTCTGCAGGCCTATAAAATTGAGGACTCGGCTAGCCCTTCCAAGGTCATTAAAAACTGGACGACTCAAATCGGCTATCCTGTCCTCACCATCAACACCACTAATGGAGAATGCTACCAGAAGCATTTCCTGTACAACAGCTCTGCTGTATCCAAGTACGTGCTGCTTGCTGACCCTTTACTAGTAAACTTAGAGTGAAGTCCAAGTCTTGTAATACAGAAACCAAATTAACAGCAGGCATTGAAGCTTATAGTGGATTGTACGCAGGTAGGTTTTATATTTTTCTGAAGCCTATTACCTATTTACCTATTAACAATGTGGAATATTTAGAGAGAATGAAAAGTTATGTTGCTTTTTCATCATTACAGGAATACAAAATGAATGGCTTTTTAATTTGATGAAGAATACTTGCTGAAATGCTACGCTGTCACTTTAAGATGTTTTAAAGCTTGCTTCATATATTAATGTTTAGGATATACGTAGGAGCCTAAATTTACACTTTGTGATTTTTCTTGGTATGCATTATGGTTAATGTTTTGTGTTTTGTTTTACTTGCTAAATTAGCTATTATTCAATTTTTTAAATATTAGTGGTAACTCATTCTAATTTGGGGAATTTGTATATTTAGCTATTGTGGTTATTTTGCTATTATTTTCATTACTTCTTTTGTTTAAGGATGCATACCTGTCACTTTTTAAGGATGATGCATCATGGGAGTTTCGTTTTTGTGTATCTCACAGAGTGGAGCCAAATGTTTTTTTGACCTCTGTTGCCCTTATTATTTGTATGTATGTTTGGCTACCCTTTATCCTGTCTGCTCACTAAAACATTTAGGATATAGACATTTCAAATTATGCAAAACCACATGCTCTAAGTAAAAAGTAACACTGGACAAGTTAATGGAATTGTTCCTCTACTGGGTGACTTACCACCAGCTCTAAACCAACTTTATTAGATGCAAATGTGTTCTTTTTGCTTTTTCAGTTTTTAAAAGTTACAAGAATTCTAATACACCCTGTTTTACATTAAATGGCGATAGAGATTTTCTTCTGAGCTTTTTTCTGTCTCAGCTTTTGTTGAAAAAAAATTGTCTGCCAAGTTATGATTGCAGAATTTCTTCTGTTTGGTTTAGTTTTTGAAACACAGAAGGGAATTCCCTGCAGGCCGCCATGTTTTTTATGTTTCTGTCAGGCCTTTGTGAAATTTCTGCTGCTGATTACAGCAGAGTATACCTTTGGCCCTAGGCAAATGTTTTCTTTCTTGTAGCAGAAAGAAACAGCTGTGGAAATGCACAGAAGATTTCACAAACTGTGACCTGATCTTAAATTGATTTAATCTACATCAGGAACACTCTGGATGTAGCAAGACTCTTGCTTGTGGGACTCAGCACAGGCACCAAACTGTTGAATAGATTCTCCAAATTGTGAAATTTTGCAATTTAACCACATTTTTAATATCCAACTCTTTTCCCCTCTTTAGCCAAACGTGGTACATCCCGATCAGATACAAGAAGAAGATAAGCTCTAACCCTGATTATTACATCCTACTAAATGGCACATCAGGTACAAGAACACAAAACTTAACTCCTTTCTCAAAATCCTCAAAATTTCTCCTTGAAGACAAGGAGAAATTTTGAGTTCAGTTCAGCCCACACTATAGATACCTTCAGAATGATTAGGAAGTCCTACAGTTGCAGTAAATGAAAGATCCACTTAAACCTATATGGCAGAGCCAGGAACTCACCCTCGAGCCAGGCCTGGGGTTGGGGTTCATCGGGTTCCTCCTCACTGCACCCTGGCGGGTTAAGTCCGAAGAAGTGACCCAACGCTATTGTCCAGTCCACCAAGCACTTGCAAGGCGAACCATGAGGGACCAATGCAAAGAGGATTGGGCTGCAGTCCAAGGTTGCAGGCCTTGGTCACCCACAAAGAATTTATTGGGCTCTGGGGACAGAGAATGTCACCTGCCTGTGGGGGAAGGAGCCTGAGCTTAAGCGGGAGGTGAGGCAGTTCTGGCTAGAGATAGTCAGGCTCATCTTAACACATAGCATGGGGCCTGGAACCCAGCTCCTTGACAGAGAATGGAAGTCAGACTGGACCAGTTTCTTTGTCTCTATCGTCAAAGCGGCTGTCTGTAGCTGTGACCAAATGGTATGCAAACCCTGTCATGACCATAACCCTCTAACCTTGTGGTGGACACCAGCAGTAAGTAATGCTGTCAAGCTAAAGAAGGTGTCCTATTGAGTCCGGTTGGCTTGAGGGACTTCTTAGGCAACAAGCAGGCACAGTGAGGCCCAGAGGGGGGAAGCAGTGCTTGGAACACTAATTTCAGTGGATTTGGGCAGCTGCTGACCTTGAATGAGGGCATCGTCCGATGGTTGAAGGAATACTGTAAGCATCTCCTCGAGCTGGCTGAACGCTTCTGGTCTCTTGTGCCTTTTCCTGGTTCCTCTTCATAACAAGGGGCCTAGAGGATGGGTTGCAACTAACAACTAGAAAAAGTATAATGAACCATCTCAACTGTCAAGAGCAAAGGTGGGACGTGGCATACTTGGACAAATTGAGCCTTAAGTTTTACTAAAGTTCAGTAGAAGGAATAAAGTTAGACAGGTAGAATATTAATCAGACAGAAAATACTGCAAGTTGGTTCATCTTAAGATGGCTCAACAAACCACTTAATGGATGAACTCATTTATTATACACAAAGTAGGGACTTTTCCTTCAAATTTGACTCTGGATTTAAGCAATTAATGAGATATGAATAAAAACACCTACGCCTGGAAAACAAAATTCAGAGGCTAAAAATAAAACAGTAAAAAGTGAAAGAGTATGTCTTTTTTTGCATCCCGGAGGGTTTGCAGCAGGCTGGCTGCCATCTTTGTACGTTGCAAAACCTCATTTTCTTATTTTTATTTTGTGTTTTTTTTTTTTTTTTTTTTCAAAATTTTCCCCTTTTGTTTTGTTTAAAACTCTTCTATAAATATTTATCTTCAACACAGATAACATGAGTTTCATTGCTAAGAAAGGAGAATGGCTCCTGGCTAACATCAACTGTACGGGATACTACAGAGTCAACTACAACCTGGAGAATTGGAAGCTCCTGATGGGTCAACTGGAAACAGAGCCAGATGTGAGTTAGCAACTGAAGCCAATGTTTTCAAGTTTCTGTTCACTGAAATCTGCTATCAGACCAGGGAAAAAAAAAAAATGCATGATCGTCTTTTAAGGTCATGTGACAAGCTGTGGATTCATTATCAAAGGAATCCATAGATGATAAATAATTACCTGGGCAGAAATTTGAATTGCAAAGAGGATCTAAATTAACTTTTATCAGCGGCCATAACAGCACCTTCATGCTAAAAACGGAATCGTAAAAAAAAGCCTTATTATTTCTACAAGGTGAAACAAAAGATCGATTTGGTTTTAAGGAATTACCCAAGAGATGCCTTTTTACTCCAACTCAAATCCCAAAGAGAAGATTTCCCAGACGACCATAAAGCCAGCCATCAGCTAAAGCTTTGAGGGTTATGAAACCACAGAACTCACTTCAGTCTAAATCTGGCCTTTCTTATCAGGATTTTGTTAACAGGAGCATGTTTATGGATTGCTTGAATGATACCAGGATAAAGTCCTTCAAGGAAGCCACAGAAAAAAATAACATCTTAAATTCCCCAACTTGAACTTCTTTATTTGAGTGCCCTTAATCTGAGATTATACTAGTTTCTTAAGAAGTATAAAAGATGTCCCTAGATAACCAAATATTTTGTTGGAAAATGACCCTACGAAAAAAACCCTGAACAATGACAGAAGATTAAAGGAATTTCTCCATGTTCACTGCAGTAATAAATTATGTGTAACTTTCAAAACTTCTCAGACATTAGATCTCTAAACACAATTTTCATCTTTTCTTATATACTTTACTTTATATATTTGTGTCTTTTAAACCTTTTGGATGAAAACCAGGAAGAAAAACGTCAGTGTTGACTGTAACTGCATTTTTTAGTTTATTTACCGGTATATTGCGTAATTTAACAACAAATGTCATCTCATTAAAATAATTCAAATTCCATATCGAAGAGGTTTCTAGAATGTCCTGTTTTCATATGCGCAATTTGCAATAATTAGAAATATCCTGTCCTGGGTTGATGCTGAGAAACTAGTCCATGCATTTGTTGCTTCAAGGCTGGACTATTGTAATTCTTTACTATCAGGAAGTCCACAAACTGTAGTTAAAAGCCTTCAGCTGATCCAAAATGCTGCAGCCAGAGTTCTGATGAAAATTAAAAAGAGAGATCATATCTCTCCTATACTATCTTCTCTTTATTGGCGCTATTTAAATGAAAATAACACCAAGATTTTTTTACTTTATTATCTGATATCAATTTAATCCCATCCAAATGAAGTAACTGACTAATCAGCTTATTTTTCAAAGACTCTGGTCCAAAGACTTTAACTTCTGTTTTGTCTGCATTCAGAAGCAGAAAGTTACGAGTCATCCAGGTTTTCTTGTCTTAAATACATACAGTACCTGTAGTCTATGTAATGGTTTAGCCTTATCTGGATTTATAAACAGATATATCCGAGTATCAATACCTGTTAGGGGTGGAACGGTTCACAAAATCCACGGTTCGGTTCGATTCACGGTTTCTGGTCACGGTTTTCGGTTCGGTTCGATACATGTTGATTGTTTCCCCGAAACCCATAAAAATTTATGAAATTACTGAAAAAATCCCCCAAAAAATAATGGATTGTAATTATTTTAAATGATCCGCGGAAACCCTGGATCATTTCCGTATGTTTTGCTGCTTTGAATTTAATCATCTGCAGGCTTTGCTTTGAGCAGGCGGTCTGGAGCGCAGCGGGGCGGAGCGGGGGTTGCTGACGGAGTATGAGGGATTTCGGGGTTAGCATGACATGTTGGTCACCATGTTGCTGTTAGCATAACCAAAACGTGTTGCACAATGCTTGCACACTGTTGCACTTTTATCCACAACTTTCTTTCCGCCGTCATCGTAGGTCACTCTAAATGCAAAGTGGTCCCATACAGCAGACCTATAAAGTGCTGCTGGCGCGTCTTCCAACTCCTGTTCTTTCCCACTCGCCATACCCACACAATTCTCCACAACAACTGATTTTTTTCTGCTACACCCGGCTACGCTGCTTCGCTTCTTCTTCTTCTTGTTTACTACTGGTCGTTGGCTTTGGTCGCAGTACCACCACCTTCTGCTCTGGAGTGTAAACGCTTCGCCTATGAGAAAAAGGAGCAGCGCATGAACCGAACGAAACACACACGAACCGAACCGAGACAGTCGAACCGAACGGTTCGGACGGTTTTCATAAATCATCCCATCCCTAATACCTGTCTAATAATTCTACCGATTGGAAGCACATATATATAGTAAAGAGAATCAGTCCTAGCCCTGATCTCTGTGGTACTTCACAGGTAACCCTGGAGCATAAGGAAGATTTGTCATTAATGTGAACAAACTGAAGTCAGATAGATACAATTTAAACCAATGTAGTGCTGTTCCTTTATTTCCTACAACATATTCAAGTCTTTCTAAAAGAATATTAAGATCAACTGTGTCAGATTGCATGTAAGAGAATGGATCAGCCTCGGCCGGCTGCCAGCCCCTTGATGGGGTGTTTTCTCAAACAATAACAGAGCCTCTGCCTGTTAATCTTATGAACTGGGCTTGACAACATCCATCACAACAGTACTTGTAGGACCTTGTGAGGACTGGGGTGAGGATAATATTATGGTGTGGGGCTGTCTTTCAGGACTCAGTCCACATTGGTTAGCTTTCACTTTAATGCTTCAGAGTATTGAGATATTTTTTTTTTGCTCCTAACTTTGTTTGAACAGTTAGATAGATCCTTCATGTTCTAATATGACTGCTCACAAGTGAACAGGACAAACTCTACTGTTGAAAAACATGGATAAGTGCTTGATCAGGCATAATCGCCCAATCCAGCTATTAAACCTGCAAGCCACATCATCCTAGCATACATCCATGTCTGATCTCCGCTACTCATCTTTAGGAAGAATTCCCAGAAATCTCTTTGAACACAGCCCGAAATGTTTTTTTTATTTTTTTTTAACAAAAGTTGAAGATAGAGGATTGCATCACCTAAAACTTAATGACTAAACATGGGATATCACCCAGGTTCCTATGAGCAAGTCTTGACGAATACGGAATATCACTGTAGCTATTGAGCAGAAATTGGATTAATGCATCCAAAGGAAATAAAAGATCATGTTCAAGTTAGTTATACTTAATTTCCCAAAGTTTTTTGAGACCACAATTAGGCTTTGAATTAAAAAGGTTTCACAGCTCAGTAAATAAAGCCAACCATGGCAAACTGCTCCCCTGGCAAACTTCTGCTTTTACCTGCACCTTAGATTTATGGCGAAGGAGAAAATAATATGGACTCCCTGATCTGTTGGAGTCTTAATCTTTGGGGTATTCTGTAATATAACTAAATGTCTCTTTTCCAGCTCATCCCACTGATGAACAGAGGGCAGCTCATTGATGATGCATTCAACTTGGCCAGGTACTGAATTTTTGACACTATTATTTCAAATGTTTTTGTCAGTGGCAGGTGTTGAAAAAATAATGAAATAATAAATACTTACATTAACAAAAAGGAACTCAAATAGCCAAAGAACTTCTGCTCTGGAGCTAAAGGTTTCAGGCCACTGATCTAGAAGAGAGCTATGATTTCATTGCAATTAAATCCAAAGATGATATGCCTTGATTTAAAAACCATTATTAAAGAATTAGAGTTTTACAGAAAACTTGTTCAATTAAAACTCTAAAGTTAAACACTGAAATTGGTCCAACAGGTCAATCCGTTCTGGTTCCTGTACAGTTCATATCAGCACCATAAATTGTTTTCGTTTTTATTATATTGTCATTACAGAGGCCAAAATAGAGGCCACAACCAGTTCTATAGGGACACTTGCCCCTGTTGGCCCCCATCTAGTGGGGACTCATCAATTCAAAAGAAAGTAGGGTTTTCAAAGCTGCCTCTATCAACCTGTTTTCCTCAGAGCAAAGCTGGTGAATGTGACTCTGCCTCTGGAAATGACCCGGTTCCTCCATAAGGAGAAAGCTTTCCTCCCATGGGAGTCAGCGGTCCGGAATCTGGAGTACTTTGTCCTCATGTTTGATCGCTCTGAGGTTTATGGACCCATGCAGGTAAATGCCAAAAAATATTGTCAATTAACATTATGAAACACTATCTTACTTTATTATGTCAATCTCTCTGTTCCTTCCTTCAGATCTACCTGCGGCATCAAGTAGAGGAGCTTTACAACCACTTCAAAAACCACACAGATAATTCCACCGTCCCCGAGGATCACTCCTCACAGTAAGCTTTATTTCACTTGATCCAGAGCTGGGAAACAACCTGATTTAAGTAGAGGAACTGTTTCAAGGTTAATCATAAACAGACGTGACTGTTTGTAGAGTAGTATAATAGTCACATCCAGACACTTTTTATATTAGGTACTTTGGCACAGATTGCATTGGCATCCATCTATCAAATCTGACAGAATAAATATGCAAACCATGTCTGGTCAGAGAGTTTATTTCCTCCTTTGGAAGCTTAGATAATTCTTGTTTTTTTTCTGCTTTCTACCATGATCTGCATTTTAATCTAAGCCAGTTCTCCTGATTAAAGGTTTGGTGTCCTATGCTGAAAACAAAATCATAAAAAGTTCTTCAGGAATTTATACAAGGTGTTATTAAAATTGTTGACTTTTCCTTTTTATTTATTTATTTTTTTACTTATGGTGATGCTGAGAACACTGCATGATGTAACCTGAATCTCACTGCATGAAAAGTGAGATTTTCGTCCCCGTAAACTCCCGCAGATCTCCCTTATTTTCGTCAGTTTCCGACAATTTGCAACCCGTGCTTGTCCTCGTTTGTCGTGCCACAAATTGTCGGAAACGGACTCTGACGTATGTGGAGAGCGATCAGCTGTACTAATGGCCCTAATTAGCATATGAATGCAGCAAACCCACGCGGCTGGCCAGGTCTGGCTTGAATAACCTTCTCAGTATTGGCTGAAACCACTATTCTCGAACAAGTGAAATCGCTTGTGATTGGCAGCAAAACCACACGTGGCCACGCCAGGCTTTAACTTTCTTACTGAGTATTGGACGGAACCACTTCTTTTTAAACAAGTAAAGTCGCTCGTGATTGGTTGGCATATATATATATATTTACATATAAATTTACATATATATATATATATATTAGTGCTGTCAATCGATTAAATTTTTTTAATCGCGATTAATCGCATCAATGCCTGAGTTAACTCGCGATTAATCGCATTTTAATCGCACATTTTTTTCCTGATTGAAAATCATTTAAATACTCTCGATGACATACAAAAAAATACATACAGGCTAGGTTTGTGCCAATGTTCTTTTTTTAAAATGAAAACAGGTCACAGATACTGATTTATGCCAAAAATAACAAATACGTAGGCAAAAAAAAGGCCCTGAAAACAGGCTGATGTAAAAGACAGTCTTTACAGTTAATACAGTCTTTTGAACAAAGACAAGCATTTTACCCTACTGCTATAAAATTTAGTAGAGTTAACATTAGATGTTAATTAACCAAGGTAATAATGAACAATTTTCAATCAATACATCAAAATCAATAGACCGACATCACTAGATGGAGGTAGTCTATACTCTAGAATGTTACTTTTCAGCCTCTTAACAAAAATGAGAACACACACACACCCACCCACCCACACACAGACACACTCACCCACACACACACACACACACACACACACACACACACACACCCACCCACCCACACACAGACACACTCACCCACACACACACACACACACACACACACACACACACACACGCGCGATACCGACCTGTTGCGTACACAGACGGCAAGAGTGCCGTAGCAGATTCCATTTCACCTCAGTAATCTGTTTTCTCAGCGTATTTCAGGTTGCTACTAGTTACCAGACACTCAACTTGTTTGTTGGTGGTGGGGCTTAAAGAAAAGGCACTAGCGTCACCCAGTGTATGAGCGTCTTTTTTCCTTGAGGAGCTCCGCTCTCGAAGCCTATGAGAAATGCATACACTGGGGGAAAATAGCCCCGCCTTCCCGCAGGCTGCAGCGGGATGTACTTGGAAAATTGTACCATAAAACCACATAGCGTTAATCTCACGTTAAAAAAATTATCGCCGTTAAAATGGCCTTGCGTTAACGCGATAATAACGCGATAATTTTGACAGCACTAATATATATATATATATATATATATATATATATATATATATATATATATATGAATATATATATGAATATATATTTATTTTTTCATATATTTATTCATTCATATGCTGTGTATTTATGTTATCCTTCACTACTACACAATTATTAGGCTTCCATCAAGGACATGAATGAATTTATACAGGAAATGAACATTTGCCAGGAAGCTGTTTATGCAAAGAAAGAGCTTTATTAAAACACACACAACTATATACAATGCGTATCTAAAAATTACAACTCCGTGAACGGTCCGTTTGCTTCCTCGGGGTTGGAGGTAACAGGCAGCATTCCCTCCGAGGCAGGTCCGATGTGCAGACGCCTACTGTGCGTGGCCCTGTACTTCGGCATTGCTTCTAACCGGGACTGCAGCTTAACACAGAGTTCAGTGAGATTCGGCCTACGAAATGGCAGCGACTGTACAATCCATCCAGAGACACCGCCAACGACGCCATCTTCTTCGTCGGACATGAGGCCGACGGTGGCGGACTTCCAGAGTTCCACTTCCTCATCTGCTAGCACACTCTGCCTCGCTTTCAGCAGCTGAAAAAAAAAAACAATGAATCAGCGCACTGCGTATGGACACAACACATCTATCAATGCACCTGAAAAATAGTCACCAAATAAAGTCTTACCCTCTTTCTTCTGGCCCGACTCCGAGCAGATTGCTTAGCAGCCTCCGCACGCAGCGTGTTGGCTGGCCGCGTATATCTGAAGTTCCTGCGTACCGTCTGAAAATACGTCTTACAGGCAGCTGGAAAACAATTAAATGAGAGTGGTATGAATAAAAAATCAAACGCAAGTCACAGTAACAAGGAAGGAGAAAACATTAAAACAAGTCACTTACACACAATGTCGTCTTTATCAACATCGTGCAAATCTGGACTTGCTGATATGGCTCCGAGCAAATAGGAGGTCACCGTCTCATTGTGAGGCGACAGTAGTCTGTGAAAACAAAATGTACAGCTATGATCGGTATCCATCCGTATCCATTTCCTTTTACCGCAGAATGAAAGCATATTCTTTAAATCTTACCCTTGCTCCGGTTCATAGCGCCTGCAATTAGTCTCCGAGTTGTGAAGACGGCGTACTGCTTCCTGTGAATCACAAAAAATGCACTTTAATAAAGCTTGTTCTTGCAAGGCTACTATTAGCCGTAGCTTTAGGCTAGGCTGTTATTAGCCGTAGCTTTAGGCTAGGCTGCTATTAGCCGTAGCTTTAGGCTAGGCTGTTATTAGCCGTAGCTTAGGCTAGGCTGCTTTTAGCTTAGCAGGCAGTAATCGAACATATATTTAACGCTAGCTTCTCTTCTTTGAGTTCGTCTTGTTCGATGCAGAGTCGCCATCGCGTCCAAGACCGCCTGCACAAAGCAAAGCATACATTCTTCTTCTTCTTCTTCTTGTTCTTCTTCTTCTTATTCTGTTGTTTTATGGCGGATTGGCAGGCCAACGTAAAAGGTGCATTTCCGCCACCTACTGATCTGGAGTGTGGAGTGCACAATTTTGGAAGACTGCGCTATACCCCCCCAAAAAAAAAGAATCCTATAACTAAATCCTATTAATTGTTCCTGTATCTTTTAGATATTTGAATAATATTTCATTAACTCTTGTTTGTCTTATCTCGTTTCCTAACAATGCTTTTATTGAATTCCCATTAATCCCTATTTTTCTCAACTCTTGTATGAACTTCATTCTCTCCCTTACATATGCAGTACACTCAAAAATAATATGTTGTACTGTTTCTGGATCTCCGCATTTGTCACAATTTCCTGTTTCATGTTTCCCTATTTTAAAAAGACTGTAGTTTAATGCTGTGTGACCTATTCTTAGCCTTGAAATAATTATATCTTTTTTCCTATTTCCGTATCTTTTCCTCTCCTTTCCAATAAACTTTTGAATCTGACACAAATGTCTTCCTTTTGACTCATTATTCCATATCGTTTGCCATTTCTTTCGAGTTTCAATTGTAATCAATGTTTTCATTTCTGATTTACTTAAAAATACATTCATTTCTATTTGCTGATGATTTAATGCTTTCTTTGCTAGCTTGTCCGCTTTCTCATTTCCATCTACACCCACATGTGCTGGCACCCAGAGAAAGTATACTAGTATATTTAACTGCCTTATTCTAAATAGACTTTGCAATACTTCAAATATTAAATCTTGCCTAGTTTCATATTTTCCACTTAGAAGACTATTTAGCGTAGCCATTGAGTCGGTACATATTACAGTTCTTAGTGGTTGAACTTCTTCGATCCACTGTAGTGCTAATATGATAGCTAATACTTCAGTTGTAAATACTGACACATGATTAGATATTCCTTTTGCAATTTTTATTTTGAATGTCGGAATGTATACTGCTGCTGCTGTTCTTCCAGACTCTGGCTCCTTAGACCCATCTGTATATACCTGTAGAACTGAATAATATTCTTTACATAAATGTTGTTGTACTATGATATCAGTTGGTGTATTTTCCCCCTGTTTAATCATTATTTTTGTATTTGTAAATCGATCACTGGTGTAGAAAACATCCAAGGGGGAATTGCCGGTATTGGAACAGTTGGGTTTATTACATAATCTTTCAAATTCAAACTGCTTGCCTCTTTCTTTACTACCCATCCAAAGCTTTGTATTTCGTTATATTCATATTCCCAACAATCTTTCAGAAGAAGTCTGCCTGGATGATTTTCTTCATGTCCTTTTACACTAGCCCAATATCTCATTCTCAGTTGAGTCCTTCGTTGTTCAAGTGGCATTTCTCCCAATTCAACTAGTAATGATACTACTGGAGATGATCTAAATGCTCCACAACAAATACGTAAAGCCTGATTTTGTTTAACTTCTATCTTATTAAGTAAGGTTTTATTCGCAGAGCTATAAACTATACTACCATAATCTATGTTTGACCTAATCACTGCATAATAAATTCTCTTCAAAGACTGACAGCTTGCTCCCCAATCAGCTTCTGACAAGCATCTTAACACATTTATTCATTTTTTGCATTTTTCTATTAATTTCTGAATATGAACTCCAAAACTTAATTTATAGTCCATCCACACACCTTAATATCTCACTACTTTCACTTGTTCCAGCAGGTAACCGTACATTTTGATATTTAAAGTAGGATTTTGTTTTTTATTTGAAAAGCGTATTGCATACATCCTCCGCTGTAGGGAGCATGCGCAAGATGAACCAGGGTTTCCGCGGATCAATAAAAATAATTACAATTCATTCATTTTTTTTTTAAATCAAGGCCTTAATTGGCACTAAAATGATTTAAATATGTTTATCGAAGTATTTATAAATCTTTAATAAAAAAATGCTTATAAAAACAATTTCGTCAGATATATTATATCGCTCCAGGCGGAGAAAAAGCTAGAGGATATATATATACGTATATATGTGTGTGTGTGTGTTTACATACATACAGGAGTCATGGAACTCTGCTTACAGCTCCTTCATATTTCATGTACACTAATAACTTGTGTACATGGTTCTTGTTGATGGCATTAAAATAATTTCTAATAGCATTAAAATAGCATTAAATTAGAGTCACTCATTCCTGTATGAACCCTGTGAGCGCTTAATTTAATATGACATATTAAAAAAATCCCACCATCATCCAGCATATGTTCAGTTTCTGCCCAAATATATATATATATATTTTTGTAACGGGGATAAGGATAATTCAAAACTGCTTTTTTTGAATGAACTTGTTCACTACTTCCAAACTCAGCATCTCTTTTCATTCCTGTAATAAGAAGTTTCTTTTGAATGGATTTGATTAAAGTTTAAGTCCCTCTGTATAAAATAAATATTTTGATGGAGATGAGAAATCTGCTTCCTCGTTGGTGAATAACCAATAGTTTGGATCCAATCATTTAAATAAACGGTGTTAGTTTTTTTTTTTTTTTTTATATAAGAATTGTGCTATAATTTCTAGTCACCGATCTGTTGCTGCTATATTTTAATTTGACGAACCGGAATTTGTCGATGCTCTTTTTCCTGTTTGGTGCGATTGCAATTGCGGATCTTGACCTGGCCGGACCTTATGACCACAGTGTACCAATCTTTTGATGGCTACTTCCAACAGGATAATGCGCCGTGTTATAAAGTGAATCATCTCAGACTCATTTCTTGAAACTTTTCCACTTAAGTAATTGTGAATTGAGCATATTGACAGACACACATTTTATTTTTTATCTTAAATGCAATTTTTTTTTTAAATTATTACTGCTCTAAATGTATTGCTCTGTCAGCTAAAGATCTGTTTTGGTCTCTATACTTTAATTAAATAAATCAATTCAAGCTAAAATGTAAGAGGCTATACTGAGCCTGATCTCTTTGTATCAGAGATTTTCATACCTTTTAGAAACATGTCACTTGGAGTAAAACCCCCCCTGCAACCCTGATATGCATTTGTATAGCTTACAGCATGTTCATTTACACGTTAAAGCCTCCCCTAGAATTCCATGGGGGGGAGGCATGGGGGGAACACTGCCTAAGAAAGTCCACGTCAATTTCTGACAATTTATGGGAGTTTTCGGCGAAGCCTGCAAATTGCCGTAAACTGCCGCTAACCTGAAGTTCAACGACAATCTACTGTGCCGCATATTGACAATCCCACTTTTCATGCAGTGGAAGTATTTAACTGTATTAGTCTCAATCACTGGGTTCTTTCCTTTATTTAAAGGCACATGCAGATCACCGCCATAGAGACAGCCTGTTCCACTGGACTCCCAGACTGCATAGAGATGGCTAAAGAGAAGTTTGCTGAATGGATGGACGTCAACGGCACCAACAAGTAAGGTTTGGGTTGAGCATCATTTCTGCACCTCTGTTTTCTGAAATTTCAAAGCGCTAACTGTAATAGCTTCCCTGCGTTCTGTAGCTTTTCTCTCTCCTGCCTTCGTTTAGCAAAGGTAGGTGTTGTCTGCTCACTTTTTGTGTGTCTGGTTGTTGCAGCATTGTTGTTATTTCTAAAGCTGCACCACGCTGGGTTTCAAATCTATTTAAGATCCCTGATATATAATAACTGAATTTTAAATACAAATAAATGAACCTGCAAGATATTTTTGTTACATTTTCCAGTTAATTGTTATTTGAAATGTTTCCAGGTGCAGCTTTAACTACGATTGCATGTGTTGTAGAATACAGGCTTGAGATGTGGTTGTGTATCAGCCCACCGTTGCATGATATTTTGGGCAATTACTTGCAGTTGTGGGGAAGTACTGATATTGACAGCATGGTATGTCTGTGTGGCAGTATTTGCCCACAGCTGCTTGTAAGTGCATGTAATGTTTTTGTGAAAAATAATAAGAAAAAAAAATATCAATCTCCTCTGCGTTTTTATCAAACACATTTAGTGTTGATGTGTTCAAGTGAAGTAGATGTTTATTTTGCAACCCCGATGTTTATCCCTTACTGTATCTGATGGTATTATTTCCTTTAATGTCCAAGTAAGTCACAATATATTTCCTTTTTATCAACTTCCAAATTTGAGGTATCAACTGAAAAAGTCATTAAAAAAAATTAAAACTTAATTTCAATGTTAATTTCTGTTTGAGAACAAACAGCTGGCCTAAAAATGCCTATATGTCTCATGTCAGAGGATGAAGGGGGCACATCCAGTTAGTCACAGTCAGAGAAACAGGACTACAGTGAATAACAGGCCGAGCTCCAACATCTACAAACAAAGGTGTTGATGGCAGCAGCACAGCTGATATTTCTCTCCAGGATGGAGTCACAGCCAAACAGGAACAGACCAGATGAAGCTTCTTTGAGAAAAAGCAGACAGAGCATAGCATTAGAGATTGAACTAACAAATTCTGCAGAGTGGGAGAATAGAGATAGAATGAAGCTGAATGATGAAAAAGGGGTCCCTATGTCCTCCAGCAGTCTAAGCCTATAGCAGCATACAAAAGAATACCTGACCCTTAGCTTTGCTATGGCTGCTTTCTTGCTGATGTTTCTCTTTATTTTAACGTGCTGTTAGTTTTATTTACTTTGGGTCTGATAAAAATATAAAGTTTTAAACCACAAAAGATTTCCATTTTGCACTACGCTGAGTTTGATCACCTGTTAATTTAAGCTGCCATCTGACGTTTTTTGCCACAGTGAGAAGTTCTGGGGAATGGGCATAAATGCCAACGCAGTTACAGTACATATGCTCTGTTAATGCTGAATTTACAAAAGTGTCACATACATGTCAGCACACTGACAGAATAATCACATTATTTATTAATCTAAACTATGCAGACGCTCAGTTGGGAGCTCAGTTGCAGCAGGGTACCTGCCTTTACATAAAAACATAACTTGAATAGTGTTTTTAAAGATTTAATGGGTATTCTACACCGTTCGGCAAACCGGAGAGTTTAGCAGATGCATTTCATTTTTAAAAGAAGAGCTTGACAGTAAACACACAGTCGGGTGGCAGATTGGCCTGGTTTCAGGCAGGTGGCTTTATCTCAAAATCCTCAAAAAAAAGTCTAATTAAAGAAAAAAGGACCACGCCATGACAAAATATATTACCGTAGGCTTACCTTGGCTTTAAGTATTTTAAACATTCTTCATAACAGTATCAGTATAATAAAATGTCCTGCATGTCTGTGGAAGAGGTTTTTTGAGAGTAATTACTAAGACTGATAAAGTAAATAGTTCTACTTAAACAAGGGTTTTTCAATCAGAGAACTAAAGTGTTTTTCTGCCTTTATTATTCAGCATCCACCCCAATCTGCGCTCCACTATCTACTGCCAAGCATTGGCTGCCGGTGAGAAGAAAGAGTGGGAGTTTGCCTTTGAGAAGTTTCAGGATTCCTTTGACAGCTCAGAGAGAGAGCAGCTGAGAAGAGCTCTGTCCTGCACCAAGCAGACCTGGCTTCTCTGCAGGTGATGTCAATTCAGAGCTACTCTCATAACAGATCTGCTCGTATTCCAGTGAATCCTAGTCATACCAGTTACTGTTAAGCGTACATTGAGTCAGGACCTTCCTTATCTTTTTGTATCTCTGTTTCTTTTTCTATGTCTGCTTCACTGTATGATCTGGTTGAACTGTAAAGTGCCTTGAGATGACATGTGTTGTGAATTTGGCGCTATATAAATAAACTGAATTGAATTGTATTGAATTATCTTACAGATACTTGGATTACACTTTGGACCCTGACAAGATACGTCTGATGGAAGCCACCTCTATCATTATTGACATAGCGCAAAACGCAGAGGGACAAGCGCTGGCCTGGGACTTCATGAGAGCCCACTGGAATTATTTCAGTCAGGGGTAGGTTGATGCCGGGATGTGAGTGTCTGAATGGGTCATTTTATGAATAACTACACAAAATAAATGGCAAAAACTAAATTGTTAAAAAGGTTCTGTAATAAAAATAGCTCATCATTAAAAGTTAAATATTCAATAAACCCTGGATAACTAAAATGATATAAAGAATATAACCGGGGTTTACTTTGTGTACACATCCGCCACACAGTAACATAATAGCAGGAAAATCTCTGGTTTAAATAGATCACTTTAGTAAGAAACTAAAACAAAACTGTTTACAGTTGTTTAATTTGCAAACCAATACAAAATTACCTTTTAAAGTTGGACAGTTTCTTCTAGTCTATTTGCAAACCAATTCAAAATTACCTTTTAAAGTTGGACAGTTTCTTCTAGTCTATTATTATCAATCTGTACAGAATAATATAGCCATTTGCTATATGTCGTGGAATGTCCTCCCAACGACTTAAAAATGTATGTTAAGTCTTGTAAAAATTCAAAATTCTTAAAAAGTAGTTGAAAAGTCTTCAAACAATGATCAAAAATCAGGCAGAAGCAGACGGGTCACGGTCCAGAGTGGTTTATTGCAACAACACAAGTCCACCACATGAGATGTTCACCGTTCAACATCTAACTTTCATACAGAAACAGTCCGGCTTATATTCACTCTTGGAGCTCGGGGCTCCTCCCCAAGCTCCTCCTATTTTGCATATTCTTAGGCACTATTTTCCACGGGTATTTCCAATTTCTTTTAACTTACGGGTGGAAAACCCACCTCAAAGCATATTTTTTATATATTTTAATCAAGGCCTTTCTCTGACCTATCAAAGCCTTTTCTTTTGCAGGTCATGGTGACATCCCTTTGCAGGTCATGGTGACATATATTACAGTTACATCAAAAACTCAGCATAACCTTGATCATCAATATGTCAAAACAACGTTTCATCCAGTATAACTTATGTTTCATAACATTTCATTAAAACATTCAGCATAACTTTGATGCTCAAAATTTCATTAAAACATTACTTTGTTGTTGACCATCACACAGCGCGGTATAGCTTTGTTGTACAACTTTGATATGACAACACAATATATCACACTTTAGCACAGCTTTGTCGTTCAACCTTGATATGTCAAAATAATCCATTCTCAATGCGTATGACTCATCAACAGGCCTCATCTTTGGGCTCTCTTCACTGCAACCTCACAGCATCTAAGCCTTGGATTCTTTCCAACACCTCACTTTATCCCTTCCATCACCTCTCTTTGTCCCTTCTAATCTTATCTCAAACTTCAAACGGCCACCTGCAGATGGCCATACACATATTGCTTTACTTTTATTCATGTTGAAGCACACTCTTTGGCCTATATAACATAAATGTATTTATTGTGAAACATTTATCCACTATATTCTATTCAAAGTGCAGTATTTAATTCACTACATTTCCCCCCTGTGATCCTGAAAAGGATCACAAAGTGAATCAACAGGTGATTGTCAAAGTGAAATACTATAAATGTGAAGTTTCAAGAGTAACTGGTGATTATACGTATTTGCACACCAAAACTAAGAGTGAGACTAGAACACACCATATAATAATAGTGAATGATATAAGAGGATATGCTTTCATGATAAAATGTAATAAAAGGAGGGAACCCCCCCTTGGCACACTTATGAGGACCTTTCCTCTTGCTTACTTTTTTTGTAGAAGGATTTTCAGTTGTTGTTTTTTGAAGCAGCAATGATACGAGGTAGGGGAATGCCATGTCCAAGCAGCTTAATCACTTACTTGGTCATTGCAGCCCCCACCCAAAAGGTGTCACTGCACACTCATTCATCAAACAAGTTGATGGTTAAATAAACTCTAAATATACTCTATCATGCCTGCACCATGTCAGTCAAGCTTGTCATCTAATGGTCACTGGACAGTCATTACAACCAACATATGAGTAACCATGTGGCACTCTCCTGCACAGTATTCGTACTGTCATATGCCTTATACATGCACACAATTATTTTATCAGTTATATTTAGTATAGGTATACATAATCATCAATGTCCTTTATATCCAGTATTGTGTTGTGTGTGAGATTAATAATAGTCCGGGGCTCCTTGGGGGTTAGAAGGCATCATCCCCCATGGTCTTTCATTGGTATTTCCTGGAGTCTGTGGCCCCGGCAGCTGCTGCAATGTTGTGGTACTAGCCATACGCCCTTGATCAGCTGTCAGCTGCAGCAATTTCCCTTGCAGGGTGATTATGGCCTGCCGTGCCTCCTGAAGTTGACGTGTCAGCTCATCACACTCTCGGGTCAACCGCAGCATCTTTCCCTTTTCCCTGGTTTTGTATATGCTGCGGCGGAGTGCTTCTATTGGTCGACGTGCGAAGGGGTACACCAAACCCTTCATCATCTTTGAATAAACCTCTTTGCTCATAGAGGTAATCTCAGGCTTAAGGTCGTCGATGGTGCGATAGGTATTTAGTGGATGAGCCAAGAACCATGCAAGGTGACGATATTCCTCAGTGCTGACCACCGTGTCTGCGAAGACAACGTTGTGCTGTTCTGGCGAAGAAAAAGGCCTCATCTCGTTAAGCTCGGTCAGCACGCCTGAAGTGTATGGCAGCTCCTGGAGCGATCTGGCGAGCTGTCCTCGGTCCTCCAGGTTCTCAGGACTGGCAGGGGTGCTGTTTGGGCCGAAGTCGATCCTCAGGGCCCCAGGTGATGGCGGGCTGGACATTGGCTTCCCTCTAGGTGGTGGTGGTTGGTCATCAGACTGCCTTCTAGGAGTCATCATGGGTCTGTTCCGTGCGACGCCTGGCCCCCCTGCAGGATCTTCTGGCTGCCTGTTAGGAATATTGGTGCCTGCGGCTACATCTACTTGTGTGTCTACCGACGCATGTGTGAAGATTCTTCCTCTATTTTCATACTCTTACCATGCCTTTGAGGGTACGGGAAATGGGCCATAATAAGACTCCGCCATTTTCAATATTCTGCATTTGAAAACATAGTGTAGCATAATTATGTATCATCATGAGGCATATTATCTCTATATCTATGGATAATTCAGCATGCAAATTACTATATCTACATGAGTAAGTATGTGACTCATTGTCATGCATATTAATATATATATACAATCTTGATACTTTTTTAAAAAAATGCACGTACCTGGTGGGGGTGAGAGGGGATCATGGTTTTATATGACTTGGTCTAATTGTATTTCTACGATTGGGAATTGACCAGTTACACTTACAATAAGTTTCGAGACCAGTCCCCAAATGAGGGGTATGACGCAGCAAATAACTATTAATATTATCAATATTATCGCTCCTAGAATCATCCCTGCTGCCTTAAGATATCTTCCCCATCCAAGCTTATTGAACCAATCCCAGAATCCCTTCAACTGAGTGTTCCAATTGGACTGCAGCACATGTTCATCTCTCATGCATTTCATTTCCTGTAGGACTCCTGTGAGGCTGCCGTTAACATCTGTATGCATGGGAATTAAAGTACAACAATCTTCCCCGATGTAATCACATATTCCTTGGTCCCCAGCCATGCAGGATTCCAGCACGAACCTATTTTGTAGAACCATTAGTGAAGTAGCATGCAATTGATCCTTTACTAGATCTACACCCTTTATTGTAAAATTTATAAACCTTTGTTGATTATACCATAGGAGATTCACCCATCTACTATTTCGGGCTATGTACTGCGCATTGGCAACTGATCCCCAGATTGGTACTGCACCGACCCCTCTTCCACTTTCTATCCAATCATTCCCTATGGCAACCTGTTCTTCAGGTACCCCATATGGGACCTGATCCCAGGTGTTATATACCTCATCTGATGTTTTCCATTCGTGTTTAACGGGAGTACGTCTTTTAGTGCGATTGGTTATTTCGTTAGATGTTTCATTAATGCCTATTGGGTCATTTACTATTAACCTCAGTTGTCCTGTCAGCATTACTGGTGCACAGATCCCTTCCCACTGGGCGGGTAGTGTGGCCAACATCTGTGTCTCATTGTGACACATCCAGAAAATGTCACCTAAAGGGACAGATCCCTTCGCCAGGCTCAGTAATGGGTACGTGGCTACAAATGCAGGTTGGAACTCATAGATGACGGCTCCCCCATCTGGTACTACCTGTTCACAACGTATGGTGGCCTTGAGACTTGTTTTACATATCTTAACGTGGCTGGTGATGTTCCCGTTTGCTGTCGGTGGGTACCATGGTTTTTTACTACATTCCACCATTCTGTCTGTTGTCCACATCAGGTTAGAGGATCTATTGGTTACTTCTTCTAATTCTTTCCCTCGGGCTATACAAAACGGAAAAATCAAGTCAGTTGGTTTTTGAACTACGGGAGGAAGGGAGAACGTGCTCATTACATCATTTATTGAGGAGGTCAGTGCTTTGGGGCATACCGTCCAGTCTTTTGACCATGATTCAATGCCTTCGGCCATATGCATGGCACAGTGAGCAAAGCACCTCACCGTTATTTCTGGGCAGTCACCTATTTTACTTCCGGGTATAATCTGAGGCGCTGGTAATTTTTTAACATTATAGCAATCTATACAATCATCTTTAGGGCGCTTTTTGGCTTTGAACATTGTCTGGACAGAGTACTGAATCCATTGTTGGAACATATTGGTCTCCCAGTGTGCCGTCTTTAATTTGTCTAGATCTCTTTTCTGTCTTCTGTTCATTAGTTGTACCACTCTATGCGCTCTTTCTATTGTCATTATTTGTTTTGTTAGTATGTTTTGGCATATGTTTGTTTTGCATCTTACCTCAATGATCACCATCCCATCCCCACGGCAGTCCATGCTTCGTGGAATTCCAAGCCAATGTTTCCCCATTGACTCGTTTCCTAAAATTTCTTCAGACATTACATAATCATATCCTTTGATTTGCACATGCATTAGTGATATGTCCTCCCCATCATTATTACTGATTACCCCTTGGTTAGTAGCTAGTGTTACCATTGCTAGTGCACATGTTTGT